GGGCGGGCTGGGGGGGTCTCCGCCGCCCCCGGCCGGCTCAGCCCCCTCGGCACGGCCCCCAGCGGGGTCCGGGCGTGCGCGCTGCCCGGGGAGGGGGCGAGGCGTGGGCTGAGGGGCCTCAGCTGCTCCGGATCACGCAAGGGTCGGGGTTGGAAGGGACCTTCGGAGATCGGAGTGGTGGCGGGACGAGGGGTAATGGCTTCGAACTGGAAGAGGGGAGATTTAGGTCAGATCTCAGGAAGAAATTCTCCATTTTGAGGGCGATGAGACACTGGTGGCCCAGAGAAGCTGTGGCTGCCCCATCCCTGGAGGTGCCCAAGACCAGGTTGGATGGGGCTTTGACCAAACTGGTCTGGTGGAGGTGTCCCTGCCCAGGACAGGAGGTTGGAACAAGACAGTCTTTAAGGTCCCTTCCAACCCAAACCATTCTATGATTTTGTGACTCCATGATCATCTTAGTCCATCCCTCTGCCGAATCAGGGTCACCCAGAGCAGCTGGGCAAGAACACATCCAGGTGGGTTTGGGATATCTCCAGAGAAAGGGCCTCCACACCCTCTCGGGGCAGTCTCCCCCAGGGCTCTGGCACCCTCAAAGTACAGTTTTTCATTATATTCAGACAGAATTTCCCATGTTCTGTCTTGTGCCCGTTGCCCCTTGTCCTGTCACTGGGCACCACTGGAAAAAACCTGGCCCCATCCTCTTGCCACCTGCCCTTTAGGTGTCCATGAGCAATGGAGCAGGTCCTGCTGGGCGCAGGGTGCAGCCGAGGAGGGGGAAGGCTCACACCAGGCACTGAAACATCTTTCTCACTCCAGAGACACGGACTCTGCCCCGCGCTGTGTGCCTGGTGCGGGGGCAGCGAGGGAAACAGCGACAGGCTGCCGGAGCTCCTCTGAGCCCAACAGAAAATCTGCAGAGATAAATGGGTAAACACGGTGCCAGAGGCTCTTCTCTGCCGCTCGCCGCCTCCCGAGAGCAGGAAGGTGTCGCTGGGAAAAGGGGATGCCACGCTGCCAGGCCAGGTGGCCCAGTTCACAGGGCTTAAGGCACGTTGCTGGGTCGGATCTCAGGGGCCAGCTGGGGAGGTGGCAGCAGGGACACTTCCAGCTCAGCAGTGGCAGCACCTGCTTTGGTTTCAGGTGTGCTCAGGACCCGCCACCTGCACCGACTCCCCCAGATCCACCAGCTGCAGAAAAACAGCCCCTTTGGGTTTTACCCAGATTTGGGTATTCCAGGCCGTCAGGGCAAAACTCTGTGTAGCAGGAGGAGAAGGGCTGGACCCACCGCTGCTGTCAGCAGACACCCTGCCACAGAGCTCTGTGGCAACAAACCAGTCTATTCCCATTGCACAGCTGGGCATGTTGGGAGGAGCAAGATCCGGGAGGGAGATATGTGTTTAATATAGCACAGCACAGTCCCTGGAGGGAACGCCTGTGCCTGGTGAGATGCTCGTGGCTGGGGAGCAGCCCGGTCACAGCCACAGTGGGAAGGGAAGCTTTGGCCCTGGACCTGCCTGGAGCCACCAAGGTGCCCATAGACTCTGGCCGGGGCCACCACCCCGTGGCTGTGAGCCTACCCTGAGCTCCTGAGGGCTGGGTGAACCACAGCATCAACACTGCTCGGTGGTTCCTGCGCAAAGCCAGAGCTTCCCACAGGCTGGGCACAGTGTCAGATGGGCTAAGAGCATGGCTGGGCAGTAGCCCTGGGGCATGGCTCCCTTTCAAGCCAGGCTGGCACACCCCTGTCTGCCTGGCTCCTGCTGCCGCCCTGGAGAGCCATTTCTTCTTGAAAAAACACCTTAGCAATGCTGTCACCACTGAGCTGGCTCATCCCCTAATAACTCAAATGCATCTCAGATAGAAATCAGGCAATAATGGCACACAGTCCATCGTACATTCATTTCCCTGTTTCCAGTAAAACGTAAAAAGAAAATAAACCAGCACTGGCATTTCAAGGCAATTATTCGGAAGGGTCAAGAGATAGAGCCCCACACGGAGGAGCTGGATAACGTCAAGTCTCCTTAATGCGTAGGGATAACACGATAAAGCTGTCAGTTACCCTGCAGTGAGCGAGGTGGGGATCAAGCCGTTATAATCAAGTTTCAGGCTTTCTCTGACCTTACCCGTTCCTCAGCTGCTATGATCCAACACACACGGTAAAATATTCCTGTGCTGTGATTGTGCCCTGGGTGTCTCTGTGGGAGCTCGGACACGGAGCCCCCACACAGGCAGGGGCCGGGACACAGGGCTGGGTGTGCTGTGCCCTCCCCTTCCTTTAGTTCTTTATTTACAAACTTGCAAGGTGCTGCCCAAAGCAAGTAGAATCTAAAAAAATGGCAACCTACATTTTTTTTCTGTACAAGACAGAGGTGAAATAAAGACTCCACTACGAATATAGGAAGCAAAGGGTCTGCTGTGCTCCTCTCAGGGAGGGAAAGCGGCTCTGGCCGTTGCTAATGACAAACATCTGCTCCACAGAGCCGCCCCGTACCCAGCAACTCCTCCTTTTCTGGCAAAACTGGGCCAAGCCTTTTGCTGGTGTAGTGCGGGCTAGCGGCAGGGAGGCCAGGCAGGCGATGCTGATTTATGCTAATGAAGGGGCTGGGCTGATCTCCTCATGCGATTCGAGTCAATAGGAGCGTTGCCAGCAGCTCCAACCAGGGCATGATTTCATCTCGGCGTCGTACGCTGGAGCTGCCGTCTCATCCCCACGCTCCCGGGGCAGCGCGGCCCGGCAGGGAGCAGGGCAAGGAGCCCATTCCTCTCCAGAACTTTCACGGAATCATGGAATTGTCAGAGTTGGAAGGGACCTCTAGAGATCATCTGGTCCAACTCCCCTGCTAAAGCACGAACACCCAGAGCACATTACTCGGGAGCATCCAGGCGGGTCTTGAAGATCTCCAGAGAAGGGGACTCCACGACCTCCCTGGGCAGCCTCTGCCAGGGCTCCGTCATCCTCACCGTAAAGAAGTTTTTCCTCATATTTGAATGGAACTTCCCATGTTCCAGCTTGAGCCCGTTGTCCCTTGTCCTATCACTGGAAACCACTGAAAAGAGTCCGGCTCCATCAACCTTCAACCCACCCTTTAGATACTTACAAACATAAATAAGGTCTCCCTTCAGCCTTCGCTTGTCCAGGCTAAAGAGTCCCAGCTCCTTCAGCCCCTCCTCGTAAGGGAGATGCTCCAATCCCTTAATCATCTTCGTTGCCCCACACTGGACTCTCTCCAGTAGTTCCCTGTCCCTCTTGAACTGGGGAGCCCAGAACTGGATGCAGGATTCCAATTGTGGCCTCACCAGGGCAAAGTAGAGAGGGAGAATGACCTCCCTCGACCTACTGGCCACACTCTTCCCTGTGCAGCCCAGGATTCCACTGGCCCTCTTGGCAACAAGGGCACATTCCTAGCGCATGGAACGTGTGCTATCTACCAGGACTCCCAGATCCTTCTCCTCAGCAGTGCTTCCCGGAAGATCCATCCCTAACCTGTATTGGTGCCTGGGGTTCTTCCTCCCCAGGTGAAGGACCCTACATTTGTCCTCCAATTTTAAGGACTTTCCCTTCTCTGTGACGCCCAGCTCACCAACTGCCCCTTGGGTGGCAAGGCAGCCCTCAGCCTGGTCAGGGGCACGGGAGAAGCAAGCAGCCACAAAAGCTGTGCACGGCCATATGGCTGCTTTTAACCCAATAACATCATCTTGCATCAGGCCCAAGTTGTTTCTTGTGCTCCAAGTCCCCCTCGGGAGCAAACACCAAAGCAGGGGAGGGCAGTGAAGCTGCCGAGGGCCGTGTTCACTGCCCGGGCCCAGACACAAGCCGAAGTTCAGCGACTCCGTGCCAAGTGATGATGTTACCGACCGTGGAAGGGAACCAGCCCGAAACTATGGGAAAAAACATTTTTGTAGAGAAACATCATCTCTGAAAATGTATAAACAAATCAGTTTTGACACAGCAGAACAAAGAGCTATAAAAGGCTAGAGTTTGGGAAAAGCACCACTAATGGGCGGTAATTCACATGGTGCCCGCCAGACGGTATTTTTGTCATTTGCAGTCCTCGGGGAGACACCGGCCTGTGATTTCCAAAGCACAGAGGAGTAGGGAAAGAGCCCGGCCAGCCCGGCCCCTCGGCTTGGAAGATGCTCCAGGGCAGGACACGGCCAAGCAAGCAGGATGCCAAGCACGGGGGGCTCCTCAGGGCCATGCTCCCCCAGGATCTCTTCACCCAAATGCTCCAGGAGCGGAGGCAAAGCGGTGTCTGAGACGCCTGCTTCATCTGCACAGCCTTGTCTTTGGGCACAGCAGAGCACGAGAGCCGTGGGCAGGCGGCTTCACGAGAAACTAATCGCTTCTAATCTGGCTAGGAAACTTCAGCCCTTGGGAAAAGGCAGCACACCTTTCTGTGGGCTGGGAGGAGAGACCACTGGATGTCAGGTTTAGAGGAAAGAAATTAAATTTGTATTAGGGGCTGAAATCGTTTCCCTACCTTGAGAGGCTATTTCAGAGAACAGAGGAGCAATCACCTCTGAGGAGGTGAAATCCACAGCAGAGGAGCACGTCCTCCGTGCGCTGAAATGGCACCGTTACCAGGAACATAATTCCAGCAAGATCAGCTCTTATTAGGTTCCAATTTTTGTTTTCTCTCTCTCAAAAGATCTGTTTCTCCAGCATGCCATGGCAGACAGCAATGAAACGTTACGAGCTGCTGCTCGGTGGTGAGTGCTATGACTTTTACGAGCAGATCCCAGAGAGCCTTTGGACAAGCGCAAGCTGGGTCTGTAACTTAAGCCCCATGGAGTTCACAATTTAATCAGACCAATGTAAAATGGGGAAGTCATGCACCACCACCACCACCACCCCCTTTTACCCCGTTCTCAACTGCTTTTTGTTTGTCAAAACCACGTTACCTTCATCACTGCACGTGCAGAGGGGTCAGCAGAGACACGGTGCCTCTGTGTGCCAGGGAGCAAGAGCCCCCGTTCCTCCCTGCTGTCCCTCCTGTGGCCAGAGACAGAGGTGGCACTAAGTCCCTTATGCAGGGCACAGATTGTGCCAGGGTCACCCACAGCAGGAGCCTGCATCCACGGTGCCTGGAGGGAAGCCACCACCATCCCTGCCATTCTTCTGCTGCCTCCAAGCTGGATGTGTAAATAGGTGACAGAGATTGGTGCCACCACAGCACACCCAGCCACGTGGCTGGCAGCCCCCGACACGGCACACTGGCCAGGGCAGGGATGTCTGCTTCCCTGAGGCCAGAGCCCTGCAACCCCTCAGTGCCACAGAAAAGGGAGGCTGGTGGCTTTGCCCCCCGCTGCAGGTCAGGCACCAGCCTCCCTGAGCCACCCCCTCTCCTGAAGAGCCCCCTCTGCAGCAGGGCACCCCAGCACCCCACCAGGGGAGGACACTGGGGCTCATTGGAGCCCACCAGCACGGTGCCGGGGGACCACAGGGCTGCTGCAGCAGGTCTGCCCCTGGCCTTTTTCACACTTCCATTTTTAGCCATGGTTACCAGCATTGTTCTCGCAGCACCAGCAGCTTCTGGCCTCGCTCAGTGTTTTCCCCGCTGAGCAGCCCCCCCGAGACCATACCCTGCCCAGCCAGCTCCATCCCACCCCCAGGAAGCTGAGCCAGCCTTGCCACGACCTTCCCCAGCCTCAGGATTCACCCCAACTTGGGGCAGAGCTTTAGGGCATCTCCTGCACCACTCTGCAGCTGAGCACAGGGGAGCTCAGCCCCTGCACCACAGGCTCTGCTCTCTCTCTCACTACCACCATTAATCCCACAGCTTCTAGCAGACCACTGCCCCACAGCAATGGGGAGCCTGCCCAAGCTGGGGTTTGCCCCACAGCTACGAGCCCCCTCCCCAGCCTGAGCTGGTGGTTGCCAGCAGCAGGTTATTCCCCCTGAGCTCCCTGAGCAGCAAAGATGTTATAAAGCGAAAATGGTCCCTTGGCCTCTGCACACACACCCCCCTTCACGGGAGGCTCGCACACGCCGTGGGAGGTTTCTGGGTTGCTTCTTTGAAAAAGCTACTTGAGGTCAGGGTGACTCAGTGTTTCCCAAAAGGCAACAACCCCTTCTTGCCTCGGTGCAGGTCTAGAGCAGCCGCCAAGCGCCGCCCTGCGCGCCGGGGCCCAACGGCAGTCCCTGGGAGAGGCAGGTGCTTTCTGCACACCCAGAGCAGTTATCCCGGAGTTCAAATGCCTGACCGCAGCTCTCTGCCTGCACATAACCTTCCCCACAGCAGGCGGGCCGTTCTGGGAAGGTGGGGGATGCTCCCAGGAGGTGAGAAGGGGACGTGGCTGGGGCAGCCCCCACACCCCAACAGCATCTCCTCCTCACTTTGCAGCTCCAGAGCCTGTGCGTGGTTGGAGATGGCACTCTCCAACACACACTTACAGGAAACCTGCCTTCCCAGCCTAGAAAGATCCCAGTGGCCCCACTGTAAGGGATGCGGGCCAGAAACCAGGCTGCCTGGTCCAGGCAAAGTCCAGTACTCAACATCACTGGTGGAAGTGATGTTCCCAGTCCCTCTGCAGGACACCACAAAGCCCCCTGCTTGGGTTTGCCCCCCCACACAGTGCCACACCAACCTCCTGCCCAAGGAGACAGGGGGAGGCTGCAGTGGGTGGCCATCCCACTCCGGTGCCGGGAAGAGAAGGGGCCACCGCGGCTGGAACTGGCAGAGACAGACTTGTGAGGCAGCTTCAGACTGTTTCTAAGGCAGCGAGTGAGCTCCCCAAAGCACCGGGCCCTCCTTTAATGTTTCCAGCTGCAAGAAGATGGGTTACAAAGAACCGGTGCCAGTAACCTTTCTTCCTCCTCCTCCTGAGGAAAATTCAAGGCTAAAGGCTCATTACTGCCATTTCTCTAATGTGGGGCAATTGTAGAGGCTGTACAGCCTTCTTGGGAAAGTGTTTTATTCCAGTCCACAGCATTCACAAGCTGCATTTTGCTACGGCTCTTTCCTGGGCTCGTGCCCCTGGATTCCCACCCCCCCAGGAGGCTTTACCCCCGTACAGCTCCATCCCTACATCACTTCTGCTGCCAAGCATCTACTGCCAAGCCCCAGCAAGACCTGAACCACCTCCTTTTCTCCCAAGTCATGAGCAGCAGCTCAGAGGGTGAGGGGCAGGGAGGGCTTTTACAGAAAGCCACTCCATCACACAAACGGCAGCAGCCGCAGAGCCGGTCAGGAGCGGGTGCTGGGCAAGTGGGGGAACCCAGAGCAGCCACACATGATCCTGGGGGCAAGTGCTTGCTCAGTGCTTGACCACAGCCACAGCACAGAAAAATAAATTCCTCAGGGATTTCTCTCATGGTTTAAAAGGTGCTTCCTAAACCTATCCGCAAACATGAGAGTGGCTACTACTCCTCCTAGAGGAATGTGTAACCACATCTCAGAGAGAACAGGGAGCGTGGCCCGCCAGGACAGCTGCCCCGTGCCAGATAAGCCCTGTCCCACACCCTGGGCATCATGCCTGTGACCCAGCATCGTGCAAAGGAGAGCTCTCCCTCACCATGGGCACCCCGTGATGTTCCTGCTCCTCATTTCCATCCACAACCTCCTCTGGACAGAGGGGCAGCCCTCGCAGCCCATCGCCCACTGAGCGGGCCGCACTCCTGCCAGGAAGCACTCACAACACCCCCGGTCCGGACACATCTATTTACACGAGGAGAACCACAGACACAGGGCGAGGAGGCGCCTGCCAGCCGGCACGGCCAGCCGCCGGCACAGGCTACTGCCCCCTGCGCGCTGCGAGCCCGGGGCTGGCTGGGTGCTGTGCCCAGCTGCCACCAGGCCACCTCCCCAGCACTGGGCGAGGGCAGAGTCACTTTGTAGACACTGTATTTTCAGAGGTCGGGGGCAGCGACATGCCCCTGGCTGCACGGACAGTCCAGAGAGAGGTGAGGGGATCTGCTGGGAGCATCATGCCCTGGTGGCCTCCGAGGGCAGGAGCCCGTGCCAGCCGGAGGGGCACGGTCCGGGCAAGTCTCCATCCCAGTCTTAGTTGTTCTCACTCTGCAAAGGAGAGAGGGGAGAGAAAGGGTGAGGTGCCATGGCCCGGGGTGGGTACACCCCCCTTTGATGCACCCGAGGCCACCCGATGAGTCTCCCTGCCCGAGCACAGCCCCGCTGTCCCACCTCACCTCCATTTTGCTGTATATCCAGCTGAGGAGCTTTGTCACGCATGTGTAAACACCAGGCTTGTTCTTCTGGCCACATCCTGTCCCCCAGCTCGTCACCCCCGCCACATACCAGCGACCGTTGTCCTCGCAGACCAGGGGCCCTCCACTGTCACCCTGGCAGAGAGGGGCAGAGCAGTGAGGGGAGGAGACAGGAGATGCCCCTCTGCCAGTACCCAGCCAGGGGACACCAGCGTGAGGGAAAAGTGGCCCTGCTTGTCCCACACCACTTGGTGGGACCGTGTGCCCCTGGCTCACCTGGCAGGCATCCTTCCCCCCCTGCAGGTACCCGGCACACATCATGCGTGGGGTCAGGTAGCCCTCGTACACCTTGTCGCTGTTGCAGATCTTGTAGTCGATCAGCTTCACCTCTGCCTCCCGCAGCTTCGGGGAGGTGTTATCTGCAAGGCAGGAGGAGCCGTGGGGCAGGGTGGGCCTCGTCCCCACACTGTCCCCCAGCCCCTCCACAGCACCAGCCGCTTCCGTGGCAGCGAGGTGGGAAGGTGGAATTTCTTGGAGGCCTTAATTCTGCAGAGCCGTACAGCTGGGATGGCAACCACTGTCCGTCACCCCTGCAGGAATGGCCCTCGAATCCTGCGGGAGAGCCACGTTGGCTCCTCGTGCTGCGTTCGCAGGTCAGGCTGTGGCTCACAGGACCTGCCTGCAGAGAGCCAGCAGCCTCCCTCACCTTCGTTCTCCCTGGTCTTCCCGAAGCCGGTGATGAAGCAGGACCTGCCGGTCTGGAATCGCTGGCCGTACATGGGGAGGCAGGCCGGGCGAACCTGAGCTGGAGGGAGATATGATGAAAACCAGGCGAGGAGAGAGGGATGAGTCACCCAGGAGCAAAATAGCCACTGAAGTCACCAGCCCTGTGGCTAGGGAGGAGTGTGGTGGGCAGGAAACGTGCCTCTCTGTGCCCACCCGGGCAGGGTCCCTGCCAGCCCCCCGCCATGTGGGGCACAGCGAACGGCATGATGCTGGCTGCACAGCCGAGCCCACAGCTGTTTGCATGCTGGGCCAGTTCCCGACCACAGGACAGGTAGAGAAAACCAGTGTGGTCACAGCAAAGCAGGATGCTCCAGCTGGCAGCAGCCCCAGGGCTGGCTCTGTGGGGATCCAAGCTGCCACTTGGGCCCTGCCCATCCCCAGGTTCTCTCTGTCCCCCCAAACACACCAGCCCCAGGGGAGCAGCACAGCGAGCCAAGAGGTCTCACCTGAGAGCGTCAGCGGCCTGGAGAGCTTCATGAGGGCGATGTCATAGTCATCGTGATCGTCGCTGTAGTTGGAGTTGATGATGACCTGGGAGACGGGGATGCCCTCTCCATGCTGCTTCAGGTCTGAGACCCCGCCGTACACCTTCCAGTCATCGAGGATCTTCATGCTGTTCCTGGGCAAAGGGAGAGGGGGTGATGTACTTTAGCAGTGGGGGCAGCAGGGAGTGAGACACCAGGCACGGGGCTCGGGCTGGGCGGCAGCACTCACATGAAGAAGCAGTGGGCTGCGGTGAGGACCCACTGCGCGTCGATGATGGTGCCACCGCAGATGTGGATCGGCCCGTACTGCACGCTGACCTGCCAGGGCCATTTGTTCACCGAGGTTTCCTTTCCACCGATGATCCGGCCAGAAATCCTCTGCCCACAGGCTGGAGGGGAGAAGGGAGATGAGAGAGGGGCTCAGAGAGGAGACAACATGGAGGGGGCGCACACAACCTCCCCACCACCCACAGGCACGAGCACTGCTCGGTAGTTCATAGGGGCCAGTGGAGACCAAGCAATCTTTATGGTTTTCTATTAGCCAGAAAGTTTGCTGGAAAACGCCCTATTTGCCCAACCCTGTGCAAAGAAAGGAGGAAAGTGCTCCCGAGCCTGTGTTTGGCCTCGCCTGCTCTTGGCCAGAAGCCCTGCCGGCCAGCCCCCTTACTTGTGCATCGGAGGGAGACATACTTTCCCGTGAGACACTGCGAGCTGTGGGAGAGAAGAGGGAGACACAGCCTCAGCCCTGTCCCCGCGGCACCAAGGCAGGGCCAGGGTCAGGAGGTGACACTGCCCGGTACCTGTTGAGGCTCTGCTGGATGGTGTCTCGCTCGTTGGTCACGGTGAGGCTCTTGCCAGGGAGGTGCAGGGGGATGTATTCCGTCTGTGACACACTGGAAGGGAAGAGGAGAGAGGCAGTGAGGGTCCCCCCTGGCTGGGCACTGTCTGCCTGCTGCCTGCCTTCTAGAAGAGGCTCTACGTCCTAAACCTGGGGGGAGGAAGGGACAGAAAAACACCCAGAGCAGTGCTGGACACACAGCCTTCCACCAGAAAAGCACAATGTTGGGGAAAAAAGCACAGTGGATTGTGCACCCAGGCAGGGCAGGAGGGCCAGAGCAATGCCCAGGGAGCTGGCAGGGCCCCAGTGCCCCAGCGGGATGACTCATCCTCAGGGAATTACTTCTGAAATCCCAGCTGGCGGCAGGTCTTTCTGGAGAAGGAGTCGTCCCAGGCGCTGCTGCACACCGGCAGCCACTGGCTCTCCGCGCTGGAGTAGACGTGGAGCAAGGACCCGTCGGACGCGAAGCGCACTGTGGGGATGGAGCGGGGGTGGGTCAGTGGTACCCAGCGCCCCGGGAGGCTCCCATGGCTCCCACCACCCCCGGTGCCTCACCGCAGCCCAGCTCGTCGCTCCTCTGGGAGCAGTCGACGACGCCGTCGCAGCGCACGGGGCTGTCCTTGCAGCTCTCGGCCGGCTCCTTGTACACGATGCCGGTCTGCGACCGCCAGAACATAACTGGAAGCAAGCGCACGCTGCGGTGAGGCCGGGGTCGCTGGCAGGGACTGCGGTGGGTGCAGGTGCTGTGACCCACCCCGACGGGAGCCTGGAGATCTGCCATGCACAAGGGCACTCCCCAACACCAAGCTTGGGTGCCGGGCTGCCGTTTGAGCCAAGGCTGAAGAGCTGCGGGATGCAGGGCTGAAGGAGGACCAGCCAGCCCTGAGCATCCCTCCGTGGCAGCCCAGCAGCTCAGCGGCTGCCAGCCTCTCGCTTAACCCTCTTGGGGCTTGGCCCTGCAGAACGATACCTCCAGCCTGCCCAGTGCTTCCAAGCCCAGCAGCTACAGCAGCTGGAGAACCCCAGTTTGATGTTACCAGGACTAAAGCTGTTCCCCCAGTGTCTGTGCCTGTTCCATCTATGGGTTTGCCCTCAGAGAGGGCAAGGGTGGGTGCTCCCAGGGGTGTCCCACTGCCCACTGAAGCCAGCCCGGGAAGAGGAAAGCACCGCGCAGCCTCCCCAGCCCCACTCGGGAGCGCAGGGAGCCCCAGCAGCAGCTCTCCTTTCCCGGGCGATCCTGCTCCCGCCTCTCCACCAGATGTCAGGAACACTCAGGAAATGGGAAGAGCGCATCTCTGCCTCTCACCTCCCGGCCCCGGGTGCTTTCCCTGCGGCACTTCCCAGCCTCGGTGTCCCCAGCCTCTGCTGACCCCCAGCCCCTCATGAAGTCTCCCCCCGCCCCAGGGAGCCCCAGGCTGGGACCCCACTCACACAGCAGGATGAGGGCGATGAGCAGCACGATGAGGATGGAGACGCAGAAGATGAGTGCAAGCCGTCGCTGGCTCATGCAGGGAGCTCTGAACATGGAGGATCCTGGCAGCAGGACAGAGGCAGGGTCAGGGGGAGCGACTGCCTTCCGGGGGTGCCCGGACCCTGCTGCCCACCAGCACATACCAGCAGCTCCCCAGTTCCCCACACGCCTGCTTCCCCACAGGACCCACAAGATGTGAGGGAGCAGAGTCATGCACACCACACACCTCCCTGGGGTGTCCCCCCATCCTACCACAGTCACCGTCCTCTCCCTTGCCCTTGACATCCCTCACACCCCCAGGGAAACACCAGCTTGTGCCCAGCAGGGCAAACAGGCACCCATTCCCTGCCTCCCTCCATCCCTCTCCACCGGGGGTGGGACCAGGGTCAGGGTGGCCAGAGACCACCCTCAGCCCCATCCTCTTACGTGTGCTCTCACAGGTCGTGCAGGGGGTCAGGGCTGCGCTGGACCCTGGGCTGTAGGGCTTGAAGCTAATGCCAAGGACACTTTCTGGAGGCTGCGGAGGTCGGGCACCGAAGATGCTGCTGACTATGGAGGCATGGAGGCTGGGGGGGACACTGCTGGGCGATGCCGTGGTCTGTGAAGAGAGGACTGTTAGTGGCAGTGACTGTTGCCCACCAGAGAGCCCGCACAGCTGCCACCCAGACAGCCATAGAGGTGAAGGCGACGTGAAGCCAAGCTCCCCAGCATGGCACCGAGCTTCCCAGTATGGCCAGTGATTGCTGCTGGTGGCTATTCCTCCACAGCACCATGAAACACACAGAGTTACCGCTGCAGTGCCCCTCTCTGTACCACAAAACTCAAGCCATACTCCATCTAGGGCAGCCAAAAACCTCTCTGTCACAGAGCTTTTCCCCTTTAGGTGGCTGCTGGCCAAATTTCCCCAACTGATTGCTTTGATCGGAGCAATCAGCTGGGCATTTGGCATGGGGTCAGCCACGCCGTGGCCCAGTTCCACGGGGCTAGTGCCCCAATTTATGCATCTATCCTTAATTAGCCATTTGAAAAATACAGTGCAATTTCCAGCTGTTATTTAGTAATACTTAATAATCAGTGTTTTCCAAGCCCTGAAACGTCCTGCACCCTGGAATGCTGTTCTGCAGTTATGTCACTCCTAATCCATGAATTTGCAAAAGAATATGTATTTGTTTCCTTTCCTCAAGGGACACTCTTCCAAGTGCTTCCCTCAGCTACAGAAGCGAGAGCCTCTCACCTTCCTTCAGAGGGGACCCATGTACAAAGCCCGCAATAAACGCTGTTTCCTCTGCCCTTGGTAAAACCCCTCTGGCCACAGAAACCAGCTGTATGCCTCACAGAAACTGCTGGGGCATCGCCAGCCGGCACTCGGCAAGTCTCCCCCTTCCAGCTGGATTTTCTCTGCCGGCCCTCGTGCTTCCTGCCGGGAGTCAAGGACCCTAATGAGCAGTGGGGAGCCGGCTCCGGCTCATGCTTTGTAAATACGGCTGTGCCCTTTCTTGCAACGCGGTGGTGTAACTTCCTGGGCATTATCCCGTGAGTCACGCACCCCGGCGTGGCCACGCGTGCTCCCCACGTGGGGTCTGCCCCAGCCCCAGCTGGACATCGCAGGGGGACACCGCCTCTTAGATGTACTGAAGCACAGCTCTCTCTGTGCCTTAGGAACCGCTCGCAGCCCCGCACATCGGCCGCAGGGCTGGCCGGCACAGCACCCCGGGCTCCCCGGGGAGGCTCCCTGGCCACCCGCCCTGGCCAGCAGCGGGGTGTGCAGGGCCACCCCCCGGCACAGACCTCCTCCTGCCGCCTGCGGGGACCTTGGCACAGGCACCACTAACATCTCCCGGCCACTGAAAGCCTCCTCCCTGAGCTCCTGTGAGCACGGGGAGGAGCGGAGGCAGTTCTGTTTCGCAGCATCACCCGCCCCTTCCCCGCCAGGCAGCCCTAACAAGTGAATTCACTCAGCCCGCAGCCAAAGGCCACTTTTCCCTACGCCTGAACTCCACGGCAGCCATGTAGGTAAACCCAGGGCAGCCGGGCTGCAGGCTTGGCTTCTCCTGTCCTCCCCTAGGACATCTGAGCAGTCACACCGATGGGATTCAAGTTCTCACAGCAAGTATTGCACACCCACACCGCCAAACACCCCCGGGTACCCTCAGTGCCCGTTGTTAGCAATCACACACAACCAGCAAGGGAGCCAGAGCTGCAGCGGGTCCCACACTGCTGCTTTGCAGAAACAAAGCCCCAAGCAGATGCCAGGCACTTTTCCTAGGAAAAGAATGCCTCCTGTCTATGTGTAAATGAGGGTTTTGTAAATACCCAGGCAGTATCACTGAAGCGGGCATTTGTACGCTGTCTCCACGCGTCTGATATTTCACATGCCTCACCCTGCAGCGAGCACAACCCTTCAGTTATCAGACCAGCAGAATTACAGCGCCGTTAAAGACAAACTTCTCCACTGTGCTAGGAAACACAGCCCAGCTTCACCAGTAAGCCAGTGATGCTGGATACAAAAGCATTTCTACCTCCAGCATACAAACATTTCAAACTAACACAAAGAGTTCACTACAGGTTAAATTACTCTTATTATTCCTTAGCAGGAAACACATGCCCTTTCTTACATTCTGAAGAACTATTAGCTACTTATTTCCTTAAAAGTCTAAAGTCCAAGTATTTTTCTTTCTTAAGACTATCGCAGAAGCTAACAGCTTTTACGAGGGGCTCCCAGTAACCAGCACAACCGGTTGCTGTTGTACAGCCCCTGGAGCAGAGAATAAACAGCAGCAGCAGCTTCACGAAGACATTTCGGTTAAGGAGCGTGTGTTACCCCGGTGAGTGAGCTGCGACTTCTGCCCACAAAACCTTTACTCATCCTTTGCTGGCTTTTGAGTAAAAGTCAGACCCGGAGCCATGCCTCTCTCACACGCGCCGCTGCGGTCAGAGCCCTTCTTCTGACATCCTCTCTGCAAAGGTCCCCGCAGCCGCGAGCGCGCTCGGTGCCGCTGTGGGCTGGCGCCTCAAAGTCAGGCGTGGGAAGGGGGGGAACACAACCAGCTCCTTTGGGTGCCAGGGCTGACTGTCACACAGCAGGGGAGGAGGAATGCTGGGGGCTAGCGGAGGGGGCTCCCGGCCAGCTCTGCTCGCCGGGGGGATGCGCAGAGAGTGCCCATCTGCAAGTTTAGCCCTTTGCTAAGTTCATCCTGAGCATAAACACCACTTTGGTCCACCTTTGCTTTGCTCCGAGGCTTTGAGCAGAGCTGGGAAAAAGCCACAGAGCAGCACCAGAGAAGCCCATCCCCTTCACAGCGTGAGCTGCCATGTGCACTGACCTCCAGCTCCAGTCCCAGCGGCAGAGGGAAGGCCACCAAATCCATGCCAGCAGATGGCAATCACCAGGGAAAAAGGCGGTCCGGGCTGGGTTGGAGGCTCAGGATCCAGGCGTGATGGGGAGGGAAGGCAGGGAAACCAGCCAGCAGTCACCCACAGTTTCGGAGTGGGAGGGAGAGAGGAAGAAGCCAAGCAACACCTGGAGTGTTGCAACCAGACCCAGGGCCCAGCCGTATCTTGGAGCAGCAGAAGGGCACAGCAGCTACCCAATATTTGGAGCATCAAGAGGGGAGAGAGGCAGCCTGGCTTAAATAAGCTGGAAGGAGCTGCCTAAAGAGGTGATCATCTTTCCCAGCTGAGCTGGGCAGCCCAACCCTCACAGCCAAGCAAGGAACCATCTCCTTCACCTGGTTGTAGAGCCCTGATCATCCACGGCAGATTAGCCCAGAAAGAACACAACAGTGATGTGGCCCTCACACTCACCTGGGAGAAAACCCGCCCAAACATGTGAAAGCCCCTGCTTCCTCCTGGTGATACCCATCCCGCTCGAGTGTCACAGCCTCCCTGGGAGGGGACAGATGCCCAATCTGGGGACAAACCAGGCAGGAGACGCAGGAGGACGCTGCTGAAACCCAGATGCCATAAAGGGGCAACACATGGGGAAGTGAAATCCCAAAGCACACCAGGGCCGCTTTGCAAACACAGGTGACAAGCCACATTGATTGAGTCAGCCCCACCTGGCCGGGGATAGGTTGCCCTATGCCCATGTGAGTAGCTCTTCAGGCAGAGGGCAGAAAATGTTCCAGGGGGGGTGAGTAATCGCCGCTCACCCCATTCCATGGATGGGCAAACCAAGGCACAGGAAGATGAAGCGCTTCTCGTGCAGTTGCAGAGCAGAGGGTGGCACCTGGGACTCCTAATGGCCCTTTTAATCCAAAACAACAAAGCCAAGGTGGCCCACTGGGGATACCCAATGTTGGGTAATTCTCTCCATAAGCGAGCATCCCAATTCCTCCCCTGCTCTCGCCAAGATGCTGTGCCACTGCCCGCTTTCGGGGCCACCCAGAGCCAGGGTCACACTGCAAAGCAGTGCTGGGGACAGGCTGCCCTCCCTCAGGACCCGGCACAAGCCCACTCTGCCCCTGCTCCTGGCTGCCTCCAAGGCACCTGCACAGCAAGGGGCAGGAAGAGGGTGGCTTTTACAGCTGGTTCTGCCTCTCCTCGAGCCCCATCCACCCCATCCCTGCCAGCTTTGCACATCCCAGACATCGCTGGCGCAGCCAGCAGTGCTGGGCTTGGTAATTACCTGCTGCCTCGCCCAGGCAGGCTCAGCCCGGTGCCCAGCTGGGGATGGATGTTTTCCTCATGACAGGATGCTCGGCAGGGCCCCACGGCCGAGACCGAGCAGTCCCTGGTCCACCCAGCCCGAAAAGAGCACCGGGAAAACTGCCGGGAGAGCAGGCGAGGGAGAGCCAGGGCCACCAGCGTGCTGTCACTGCTGCCAACGCACGGCCCCGTGGGTGCCAAGTGGCACTGGCTCCCACCAGCAGCACCAGCCCCCCACACCAGCCGGTCTCCCTGGTTCCAGCATGGAAAAGGGATGGGGTCCCTGACACCTCGCAGGGCTGAAGCCGGGGATGCTGGCGGCAGTCCTCCTCCTTTCCCATGCCGAGGGGGTGCCGGAGGCAGCAGCCCCACAGGCAGCTCACCCCAAGCCCTTCTCCCCGCCGGCAGCCACAGGCTGCTGCGAAGGCAACGCCCCAGAGAGCAGGAGGGAGAAACCGGGCCCTCCACCAAACCCCCAGGAAAGCAGGTCGGTACGGCCTCAGAACCAGCCCCGGTTCTGCCAGCGGAGCTGGGGGAGCTGCCCGCGCCTTACCGGGGAGGCTTTGCCGTCCATGGGCCGCTGCAGGGCTGGGCTGGGATCAGAGGTCCGGCACAGCCATCCTTCGCCGCGCAGAGCCAAGTCAGGTCCGCGGGGACGGGGCAGAATCTGTTTGGCGAGCGGGCTCGTACGTCAGTGCCAGCGCCGGGCGCGGAGGGAAACCAGTCCGACCTGCCGCCCGGCTCCACCGCTGCATGCTAAATCGTTTCCCAACTGCTCCAGGCACAGCAGGCAAAACACCTGCTGCCGGTGGCCCCCGCCAGGTGCTGGAACACCGGGCAGGGGCAGCAGGACCCTTGGATGTGGCCATGGTCTGGGAGAAGGTGAAGGTCTGGCCCTGGGGGAGAGCAGCACCCCTCGCACCGGGGGGGCTCCCCACCGCTCTCCTGGCTCCCTGCCTGCCCTTCTCCACCGTGTGCCCACCCCACGCTCGCCCACGTCTCTCCTGCCTCAGCCAAGGGCAGGGAGCACCAGCCGAGGATGGGAGAGGAGGGGATGCACAACCATGTCCAGCCCAGCAGAACCCCTCTCGTGCTCCCCAGGCAATAGAGAAGTGCAGAATGCCCTGTTTAAAGGGAAATGAAATGCCCTTTACCTCTGGTTTCTCCAAGAAGCTTTTTCACTCCTTTGCTCATGGAGTGAAGCTCTCGCATTGTGCAAGGAGAAAGCAGCCATCTCCCTCTCCCTCTGTGGGCGGGAGTGAGGAGATACTTTGCTTAACCCAGAACTGCACATTTAGGATAAACAGGTAAAAATATCCAGATTAAAAGGCCCGGCTCCATTGTTTTGTTTCTGTTGTCCAGACCCCTGGACACATGCCCCTCGTTCCCCTCCTCGCCGGCCGGGGCTGCACCGCGGTCCCTGCTCTTCGCTGCACGGCAGAGGGGCAGGAGGGTTTCCCAGAGATGCAGCCAGTGCTCCATGTAACCCAGGCTGCTCCCAGCTTCGACCAGTGTCCACTGCTCTGTCTGGCAGTGTGCTGCCTCCCGTGAGCCCCATCCCAACACTCTATTTTCCCGGCACATTTCTCCCAGCATTATTCATAGCGTAAGTCCCTTATTCATCCAGCTCCCCACCCACACCGGCTCATCGGAAGGGCAGGAGACGAGCAGGGCCATCCAGGCTTGGAGGAAACCTGTTTCAAGGCTGAAAAACCCAGGATGGATCCCTCCAACCTGCCCTGGGGCTCCCCGTCCTGTCCCTTCCCAGAGGGGTCAATTCCTGCCCTTCTCCCACGCACATCCTGGGGCCAAACCCAGGCAGCCAGAGAGAGGCATCAGGGAACTCAGAGGAGGAGACCTGAGTCCATCCTGATCTCGGTGTTTACTCCTATTTTCTTCTGGCAAGGTCATTGTCAAGCCCTTTGCCTGCCTCTCTCCAATGAGCCCACCCAGGCCCTGGCAGGTCCAGCACCTGCACTGTGCTGCGCGGGGCAAACACTTCCCCGGTGATGGCCACGAGCCAGGCCACCTGCTCGGGGGATTTCCCTGCTTCCAGGGTGGTTTCTGAGCCAGCCCCGGCTCTGCAGCACACTCCTCTCTAGTTTTCACACCCAGGACTAACAGCATTTTGTTTGCTTTCTGCAGCTGCCCTGTGCCACCGGGGCTGGGCAAGCAGCGAGCTGGGTCCCTGGCCACCATACCTGTGTGAGAAGCCACGGCCTCTTCTGCAAAGGGATTTTCCGAAAGTAGCTCCAGGTGGCAGCTCCAGGAATGATTGTTTGCTGATGTTTCTAGAAAGCCACCAACGGAAAGCAAGTTACAGAGAACTGTGTGCCTGGGCTTGACCCCGGCAACCCGATGTTAAATGTCAGGCGTTCGCAACACCTCCTGCGTGAAATCCTCACACTTTCCTGCTGGTAATGGCTCCTACGAGCCCTTCTGCACCCCCAGCTCGCAAACTGAGGTGCTAATAACACACACAGCTGGGGCTAGCACTGCAGAGCCCACCGGCTCCTCCGCTCTGCTCCCACCTCCAGGCATGAGGGGATCGGGAAGGGACAAGGATAACACCCAGGAAAGACCCGCTGTGAGGATCTGACCCAGGTGATTGACAGGTCGTTAAAAACATGGCTATTCCTATCCAAAGATTATTCCATTATTTTGAAGATGAAAAGGGAACTGGGCAGCGTTCTCCACACACTGATCTGGCACCAGCTCCTCCCGCATCCCCGCAGCAGCTCGGGTACCAGCACGAGCATCGTGGAGCGCTCGCCCTGCTCATGATCTGAGCGTTCAGCAGAACTGTCATTTCTCCTCAAGCCTTTCTCATTTTCCCCTAAATTGCCAGCCATTTCTCCCCAGCCTCTGAACCACCTCACCCACAGGACCAGCCCTGCAGTGTCTTTTCCAGAAGGCTCCCTCCTTCCTCATTTTTGGTCCCATTACTTTTGATTTTCACCCTTTTACCTGAAATGCGAGCTGTGGCTTTGTGGGGGATGAGGTTGTGCTTCATCTCAGGACTCCTAAACTCAGTGGATGCCCAGATCTGACTCACAAACTGAGAACAGAGTGACGGAATATCACAAAGAGGGAAGAATAAAGCCGATTAGTAATGAAGCCGGGGAGGGGACCCTCTACAGGACTTGTCCCCCCTCTGCCTGTCCCTGGGGCCAAACCTCAGCAGAGGAAGAGCCTCTCCCCGCTCCTGGGTGCCCAGAACTCCAACTTCATTCCCTTATTCCCCACAGCCCCAGCAAAGTGGAGTCCCTGGTCCGTGTCCCTAGGTGCCACAAGAGCCAGGAATGCCACCGTGCCGTGCCTGAAGTCCTATCACCCGCCAGGCATCAAAGGACAGCTTGGTGTCACTGCTGGACCCGTCCTCCAGATGACAAATGTGCTGGTGCTCAGGCAAGGCTGCCAGTTCGTGGAAGCCTGTGGGCTTTAGCAGGAAAGATGAGTCAGGAGAAAAAGCAGAAATCTCCTAGTTTGGACATTTAAGATGGCTCTTTGAGGAGCCATTCTGCTGCGCCCAAGGGACCTGAGGTCCCATACCTCTATGCCCACTGAGCCAGGGACTGCTCTGAAGCTTTCTGAGGCTGTCCAGAGCCCTCTCAGTTTCTGTTACTCTTTTTATCTCTGTCTTTTCCACTAATTCCCCAGTGGGAAATTCCTCTTCTCAAGAAAAAAAAAAAAAAAAAAAAAAAAAAACGAAACTTCATTAGCTATTCACTTTGACATTCTGGCCCCAGAAGAAATAACATTATTTTCATACTTATCCATCTGTTTTTCTGTTTTAGCTGGAGAATCTCTGCTTATAATTTTCTAGGGACAA